TAATAATAATAATAAAATAGCATTTGTATAGCCCAAAACACCACTCTACAGCATGCTCTATGCGCTTTACACCATATATTATTACCCCAGCAGACCATAGAACACTCAGAAACATTCTCAGCTTCCTGGGAAGCATACAGTGCAAGCTGCTGATTAAGCGCTCAAACACTGACGAACTGACAAGATCTTTCACTGTCTACAGCTGGGTACCCATTCCCACCTGCGTGAAGTGAGGAAAATTTGTGTAAGGGAGTACTTTTGGAGACTCACATAGAGGCGTCTCGGTGGTCTTAGGAGTAAATCTACAAGCTTGCACTGAAATATGGGGGCAGGGTGGTGTTTATATACTAGAGCTGGTGGGAAGTGGGGTGGGGGCCCAGATTGTTTGTGTAAAAGGGGGCACACCGGCTATGCCGATGAGAGTAAGAAGGACCCCATGTCTGACACGTGTGATGTCATTGATGCGAGCTATATATGGTCGCTTTTAAGCACAAGGGGGCTATCTAGGAAAATGCTGTTTTGAGAAAATCGAAGATAAAGTTTTTGACCCTTGTTTAGTTTCTTTAAAAGACAATGAGAGTTTTCACTATAACCAAACCAATATACACACCAATGAAACCAAACTTTTCCTATAGTCCTATAGGAAGGGCAATGCCCACTTTTGGTGTAGGTCAAGATTTCTGGAAACCCCCAAAATCTGGGGTCCTTGATTCCGCTTGTCCTTAAAAGCGACCATATAACCTCTTTGCTCTGCCCTCAGCGTGGCCGGTACCTGATGGTGCGATGTCCCACGGAGAAGGAGTACGGCCAGTGGAAGATGGCCTTGGAGTCACAGACAGCCGACAACACTAAGGCCACCTACGTGAGGCCGGCCCTCAAGTCCCATAGACATTCTCAGAAGGTTTGTGATTGCTGTGTTGAATGTGTTAACCCTATCTGTACGCCCTGGGGTCATTTTGTACCCCCGGAGTTGTATTCTTCACATTTTAGAATACTTCTAATGTGAAGATCTATTTGAAACTTTCAGTATTTCTCAAAAAAAGAATTTTGACAGACTGCTATGTAAAGCGTATGGATCGGATTAATT